TTTGGCAATCCTTTCCCCCACCTCCCCCTTTCCATTGGAATATTTCTGATAGCTCTCCCCACTTCACCCAAACTACCCTTCACCAATTATATCAAATATTACATATACATGTACCATATACGATTTTGGTTTGGCTCTCCACATAATATGTATGCATATGTATATGTATATGCACTACAGTAAAGATTTTTATTATTTCGAATTATTGTTATTGATATTTTTTGTTCAAGTAAATTGTGATTCAAATTATTTATTTTACAAATAAAATATCATATTATCTGAATTATGTATTGTTAAATTACTACAACTAAATATTAGAGTATTTAAGAATTTAATTTGTATATAAAAAAATTTTTACGTGGTAGAACTCAAAGATTAGTTGAGCTAGATAAGAATTTTTAAAATACCCATAAGCAAAAATGCTCTTGCAATAATATAATCCAAAGAAAATGCATGCCAATATGGCTTGATTGCCCTTACTATTAGCAAAAGAAAATGCTTTTGTACTAAAGCTTGTGATACTAATAAAGATCTTTTCTCCATGTTGAAAAACATACACCCATTAACCAGTGACTGTGTAAACCATTGCTATATATACAACATATTTATTTATAAGTAGTAGTGTTATACTTATATTAGTATTATAAGAGTGCAAAGGATTAGTGTTATACAATAACAAGATAACAAAATTTATATTTTATAGTTAGTTGTCTCTTTTTAAGAGTATCAAATTATGGTAATATTATATCACAAATTTAATTGCAATGTATGAAAGTACAATCTTGCTAATTAATCAACTTTTATCTTTATATTATGCTAGTTATATGATATATATATACATAAGAATTTGTTGTTTTGTATATTAGGTGGGTATTACAAACAAATTATTATTAATTTGAGAAATATTATTATTCGTTGCCAATCAAATCGACTTAAATTTTTAATTTTTATTTGAAAAGAAAATATGGGTATTTTTATACCCTTCATTGTTGTTGTTTAAAAGAAAAGAAAAGAAAAGTATATAAATATATATGTATGTATGTGTGTTAGATTTAGGATTAATAATGAGTGAGAAGAGAAGATGATGAATAAAATGAAATGAATTACCATGGCAAGGAGGAGATTCCTAGGACTATGATACTTGTCCCAATCTCTAGCCTTAGCAAACTCCTCAAGCTGCTGGGAAAGATCCTTAAGACTGATATTGTCAGTAAAAGCTGTTTCTGATACAGTTTCTTCTACTTCCCCCATTATCCTGCAACTGCAAAATTTATCTTTTGGGTTTTTTTTTTTTATAAAAGCCAAAAGCAAGAAGAGAGAGCCTTTTTTTTTTTTTTTTTTATAGATTTAAATGGAAGAAAAGAAAACAGGTGTTTGTTCTAAAAATCATGTGTACAACTTTACGTGCAAATATGGAGATTCTCTGAAGCCTACACCATGCAAAATGGCCAACTCCACCCACCATGCAAAAATATTCCATTTTTTATTGCACCTATAAATATTAGTGTTGAACAAAAGTATAAAGTTGTGAAAAAATAGGATTAAAATGAAAGTATAGAATCACATTTTAAAATTATAAAATGTGATTTTTACTAGGTTTTTATCTTTATATTATGTCTGCCACTAAAGATTCCAATTGTATTCATTAGGTGTTCACAATTAATGGTGAAGGTTTCTGCAACAATATATATATATATATTTTAATATTTGTATGATTGTGCATAATTGGCTTTTGATCATTAGAACATAAGAGGTGCTAAATGTATCCTAATTCATATTTAAGCAGCTGGGTTTGTAATAATTTTATCATTATTATTTATATATAGAACCCAAATTAATTAATTATAATAACAATATTTATATTGAATCGCAAAAACAAAATAATTTAATTCACATAAATTTTTTTTAGAATAATTCAATGTATTAGAAATTTCTAAGATAATTGTTTGATATTATTCAAATAATTTTCACCGTTAACTGTTTTTTGTCATGCAATTTTTATCATTTTTGTACCTGTTATCAATTTTATATATAACAAATTTTAGTAAAAATTATAGAAATTTTTTAATTTAAATTATATTCTTCACTTCATTTAAAAAATTTAAAATATTTTTACTAAACTTTATTTTTTGATAACTTCTAGTAACAAGCACAGCCTTGTAAACGAAACCCAAAAACCATAATCTTTCAGAGAGCCCAACCCAATTACTAAGAGAAAACCCTAGATCCGACGGCCCAAAATCACTATAAAAACTTCATAAAACCCTAATTCTCATCTTCAACTCCTCTTCATTTCCCTTGCGGCATTCTGCCTGTGTTCTCTCACAAGCACACACGCACCAACAAAAATGGTTAGTATGCAACTCACTCGGTATCTCTCTACAACTGCATTGTTCTCCTTGCAGTTTGCATATCTCATATATCTGACTTTTTCTGTTTTGATTATTTGTAGCCTTTCAAGAGGTACGTTGAGATCGGGAGAGTTGCTCTTGTAAACTACGGCAAAGACTATGGCAGGCTCGTCGTTATCGTCGATGTCATCGACCAGAACAGAGTATGATATTATCTGCTCGTGTGATCTTTTTCTTTTAAGCTCTAATGATTGAAGTACCTTGAATGTTTTGGGCCCTTTAGATTTGAGGAAAGATTAATTTAATTAAGGTCGATAATGGCGATTTAAAGGAAATTCGGTTTTTGATCTATTTTAGTTTTTTGGTTATGTCCTGGGTATTGTATTAAAAGGCTGTTTCGAGGCTAGATCATAGAGAAATACTGGTATTAGGTACAGTTCGGAGCAGATAATATTGCTTGGTTTTTCTAATATTTTCTTATGGACAAAACACAGCATAGCAGTTGGGGACATGAGTTCTTTCCTGCCATTGAAAACTATTTTCTGCTTGTTTCATTTTTTTTGTTGGTCTTTTACCGGTGAGAAGTACTTGAATAATTTTTTTAATCTTAACATATTTTCATTTTGTTAGCTCCTTTGAGAGAACACCAGATGTTAACTTGATAGGCATTAAGATTTTTTTAAGAGAATTCAGTAGTTATTATTATAGAATTATGTATCCGTAGAAAGTTTTTAGGTTTGTTGTTTGTGCAATTAAGTATGTAGTTCTAGTAGGAGTTTGTTCGGTTAATAAACACTTTCTCTAGAATAAGTTCTTTTAAACAAGAATGCTTTTTTGGAAGATTTGTCTAAATATTTCTGTTAGAATGAAATGTCCTTTAGTACTTCAAGTGTTTGTAAATTGACGCCGGGTGTCTGTTTTTGTGGGAGGACACAAATGCAACTTTTTTGCATGTTCCAATATACATCCAACTAAGAACACTTGCAAATGTTAACTGAGCATGTGTTAATGTGGTCTTTTGGCCTTCTGACAGGCTCTTGTTGATGCCCCTGATATGGTGAGAAGCCAAATGAATTTCAAGAGACTTTCATTGACTGACATCAAGATTGATATAAACCGTGTTCCTAGAAAGAAGCAACTTATCGAAGCAATGGATAAGGCTGGTAGGACACTCGATCCTGTGAAAATATGACCATATTATTTTTCTTATGTGGGGCTTCAATGAAATTTGATCTGTAACATTTCTTCAATCCCCAGATGTCAAGAACAAGTGGGAGAAAAGCTCATGGGGTAGAAAGTTGATTGTTCAGAAGAAAAGGGCATCTCTAAATGACTTCGACAGGTTCAAGGTTATGTTGGCCAAGATCAAGGTTAGTTGTGATGCCACCTAATGATTGATTACTTATATTGATTATAAAATTTTTAATTTGTGGTTTGTCTGCTTGCTTGTTGCCTTGGCTTTCTGAGTTTATGTATCAGAAAGTGAAAAGTCATTTGCTTTTGATGTTTGAGATATTTGAAGTAAACCAAGTCTTCAAATATGTTTGTGCAGAGAGGTGGATTGATCAGGCAAGAACTTGCTAAGCTGAAGAAAGAGAATGCATCTTAAGTGCAAGTTGCCTATGGAGTTTGCCAGTTTTGTTATCAAAATTCTGGAAGTTCTTTTTGATTGTTTCATGTCTTTTATTTTGTCAGCTCAGATTAAAAACTTATAATTTGTATCCCAGTATCTTTAGCAAGTTTTATCAATTTTACAAGGATTTATCTTAGAGAGGACCTGAAGTGTGACTTATGTGCTGGTTTGCTTGTTTGCTACTTAGTGCTGGTAGCCATCATCTGCGCAATTAAGATTGTTGGGTTAATTTTTACGAAAGGAGAATGTTACGGGAAGAACTCTAATTGGTTTGACCCTGAAAGGAAGCGAAATGAGCATTTTACCAATTTAGAGGAAATACTGGCTTTATGATTTTGCATCCTCATTGTGTTGGTGTTTGCAGACGTGGATAAACTGAATGAATGTTATGAAAATATTGCTTCCATTTCAAACTAAATGCAAAACTGAAAACTTTGTTAGTCACTGAAAGGTTAATCTAGGTGTTTGGTGGTAGTCAGCACTGAGGGTGGGACTGGATTTTCTCTGGTCCAAGTGCTTCGGCTTTGGTAGCTTCCTCCAGGTCCTTCAGCAGGGACTTATACAGTATCTCTTGAGTTTTGAGTTTTCAGAGTAAGGTGTATGTTCCATCTTCAAACAAAATAACTTGTAAATATTGCATTTTTCCAGTCGGTGCAACATTCCAATTCTAGGAGAGAGTAAAACCAGAGAGAACTAGAGAAAGAAATCGAAAGAATGAGAAGGGAGAGAGAGGAATTTGCTTCAGTGAATAACATTGTTTCCTCAGTGAATTTCCTCCAAACATTTGACCAATTACTTGTACCAAATCTTTGATTAGTTTGGTGGAAGAGTAAGTAAATAAATTCAAGTCATCATTTTCATTCTCTCAGTTGAATCAGGTGCAAGTCCAATATTGGCACCTCAGAACTAAACTTTCACACTTTTTTCTAGAGTCATTAACAACAAGTATGCGTATATCCCAATTCATTATAAAATATCTCTTTTTTTTTTTTTAATAAAAATTTGAAATAATTTGTGTTAATAAATGGTAAAAGTTACGCCGTATTATTACAACTTAATTAGGTAGTTGCGTTTGAGGCATGCACGAAACCGAACATCAAGAGCATGCTCCACACCCAGTTTCAAGCATTTAACCCAAGAAGGTCAACATAAATTGATTCATCTTCCTCACCGGATATTTTCACAATATTACCAAACAACCCCTTGAAGCAATAATTAGATTAACTAACTACACTGCAAGTGCTTAATTTAACATTTTTAATTTGTTAGACACCGATGTAATTGAATTACTCTGGTGGGTCTGTAATTTTCTTCAGCTTTGACTTTAAAATTCTGACATACAACAGTATTGGGTATATCTATCTACCCACTGATCGCCCTTTCTTTTTTTAAATTTCTCAAGATTTCTGAGTTAAAAAGAGAAGACAGAAAGTAGAAACAGCCGGTTACGTGTTTATTTTTGCTCAACTGATCTAATTAAAGCCAATAAATTTTTTCATTATTTAATACATCAGACCTAAAAATGAGCAATCCAAATACATTTAGACTTTGTTTTCTCTACAAACATCTCTCCCGAACCAAACCAAATCACTCCTCTTCTCTTCTCACATATACTAATATTTCATTTTTAAAGCTTCTATCGTTTCATTGATTTATCTTTACGCAGAAATCCATATTCATTTGCAGGGGGGATAAACATGAGACTTAAAGATCTCTATATCAAGCTCAAGGTAAGACTTCAACAGTATCTATTCTTTTTTCTCCCCTCCTACAGAAATTAATTATATCACTACATATATATCATCATGCTGTTCTTGGCAATCATGTAAGATTTAGAATCATTACAACTCTTAAGCTTCTTCACTCCTCTATTCACTTATCCCTCTGGTCTTGCTACTTCTATCATTAGAATTGAAAAAAAGCATCAGAGAGAAGATGATTCTTGTGGATGAAAATATGCATTTATGGCTTCTCATGGTCATTAGGTCCACAAATTATAACCGTCAGAAAAACGCATATTGGGTCCACAAGAAAATCATACACAAAACAAAAACAAAAAAAAAAAACTGACACTCAATCAAGCAGAATCGAGTTGTCTCTAGCATTTTCTTCACTGTGTTGACTATTTTGTTTCCTAAACCGTACAGATGTTTCGGCTGAAAAGGTTGCTGGTAAGAAATGGAGGGAGAAAGAAGAGAAAGGTTAAGGTTGGGAAGGCGTCATGGATGATGCCCGTCTCTCATGGGTATCATGTTGTCGAGGATCAACCATTTAGAAATGGTTCAGACGAGTCAGATTCTGACTCAGTTGTAGTGCAGAGAGAACAGATTGAAGAGCTTGAGTTGTGGTTCTTTGGAGTTTTTGATGCCCGAATTGGAGACGTTGTTACCAAGTATATGCAGTCTCATCTCTTTGATAAGAAGCCAAAACAGGTAAAATAAATTCATTTTTGGCATTTACTTGCACTAAACGAAAACAAAAATAAGTATGCAAATTAAATTTTGTTGCCATAATCTTATCATAAATTTGAAATGAACCAATTGTATGTTTAACCAAATGTCATATTAATGATAACTACAATGTTGAATTGCAGTCTCACATTAGGAGAAAGAGCAAAGAGGCAATGAGAAAGGCATACCTATGGGCAAGGGCAAAGATGAGAGAGGCACAGGAAGCAGATGCAGATGAGACATGGCGAGTGGGTTCGGCTTCTGTCATGGTGATTAATGGAGAAAAGCTTGTGATAGCTAACATGGGTGACTACAGAGCTGTTGTTTGTAGAGACGGTGTGGCTCATCAGATTAATAGCAACCACCAGCACCCAGCAGCCAAAAGACATTGGTCTCGCAGATATTTCTCAGGTATTTATAATGTCTTCAACTGCACCAAATACATGAAGGACAAAATCAATAATCTAATTTAACTAGGAACTGAATGAGAATAGACCCTAACAAGACCTCCTCAACATATGAAATCGAGCTACTCTAACCAAAATTCTGCAGATGATCATAAATCTTTTGGTGCTATTTTGAGTTAGATATTATTGAAAATTACTTCTTTGGAACTTATCAAATGTGTATTGGACATACTAGAATAAAAATAATTGTATCAAAGATGTATGATCTGATATATGGAGGTCTTGATGTGGCTAAGTAGGCATGTTAGCTTGCCAGAGGGGGAACACAGCAGAGTCAGGACAATGTATAGGATCGGAGCTGGCTGTTGGTGCTGAGAAGATAGATTCTGACACTGAATTTGTTATAATAGCAAGCAATGGCATATGGGAGGTATTAGAATTACTATAAGCTACGTGGGCGTGTTAAAAAATTTTATTTTTTCAAACAATTACTTGTTTGCAGGTGATGAAAAATCAAGAAGCTATGAGTCTGATTAGGCACATAGAGGATCCCCAAGTAGCAGCTGGATGTTTGGCAAAGGAGGCTCTGAGCAGAATGAGTAAAAGCAGTATTTCTTGTGTAGTGATTCGTTTTGGTTAATGTTTTAACCATCCTTTTCACCAAAATATTCTACATTAGAGAGGCGGTAAGAGTTTTTTCTACGAATCACAATCATATTTTAAACTGGATGATTGATGATACAATTTGGAGGACTAATGCAAATAGCAGAAACTGCAGTAAATTTTAGCTAATATTTTCTGAATCTCCACTTGCAGATATATTTTGACTGTTATCATGCAATTTATTTTTTAAAATCTGTAATGAAAAAAAGTATAATGAGTTCATCATTCAGTAAATAATAAAAAAACTCAAATTAGTTGGATCAAATGTGTAAAAATAATTATAGCAAAATAGATTAAATATAAAGTAAAAAAAAAACATAATAGTAAAATAATTTCAAAACTTTTTCAATTTAACATTTAAGATAGTTGAAAAAATTTAAATTAAAGTCTCACAGTTTTTAACAATTACAATTGTGTATTATATTTTTGTGACACAGTTCCAAAACTATATTTAATTCTTGCAGTATAAGTTATACATATATTACTGTATCAGAAACCTAATATTATAATTAATTCTTATGGTTTAACTTTAAAAGAAACATATTTCTAATAAATTTTAATGTTTACAATACAGTTACAAATATGTTCATATTCTTTATTAAAAGCAAATGATTTTATCAAATGCCTTAAATTTTTGAATTTGTCAAAAGACAAATTTGATCCAAATTTACAGTTAAAATAATAATACATGTTTCCAAAAAATGTATATAATTAATAAGTAACTTCAAAGCTAGCTAATAAGCAATCAGATAATTTAATAGAACTTATAATAACTTTAATATATTATAAAATACTAAAATATATAAAAAAACTACTGTAACGTTAAATCCAAATATTTTTCATAAAATGTTATATCCATTTAAGTTTTCCTAGCAGGTATCAAGACTAGTGCTTTACACTTTATGAACTCCTACTTTGGGGTTCCCTATGCGTCACCAAACATTGCATCGTGTGTTTGTATTTGCAGCAACACGATACAGATTTCTTGTTTCCATTAATATGGTTTCTGTTTATCTTCTATCACCTTTGACATTTTTCATTCTTTCTCCAATTCTCTTATCCTGCTAATAGAAAATTGCAACTATGTCCTCATATATGCCAACTAAAAATAGACTAAAAATGTCAAATGCATCATCTTCATATTCATTTATGACTCCTTGTATTCTTATTTCTAATTGAAATTTGAAGGGTACCATCTCGACATTCTACACCAAATTTATCAGATCATGTTTTTTTTAAAGAGGTTAAACTGGTTTCTAAGTTTCAGAGGCGTGGCTCTACTGACAGCTGAATTACCCAGATCATTTAATGTCAAAAACAAAATCAAGTATTGACGAGTAATTTGATCAAATCAAACAGTAAGGATATAGCTAATTTCCTCTGTTTTTTTTTTTTTTGTGGCCAAAGCACTTAATCTAATTATACCAGAGCAAATTTTCTGGCACTGGTACATGAATTTTCCAAACAGTAATGTCACAGAAAAATGATTTATGAATTTACAGAGCCCAACTTTGATATCACAAGGATATCATGCAATTAACTTTCGAGTGATGGATGACACAAGGGTAAAACAAAAAATCTCTGTTTCCTCAACAGCTACAAAAGTAGAAGAATGCAGACTTGCTGATAATTCCATCTTTTAATTTAAAATCCCTGACATTTTCATTTGTCAGGTTGCCAACTTCTTTTCACCATTTTTGCTTCTGAAGGGTGACAACAAGGAAAAGTTGCGAGAAGCTGCAACCAAGTTATAAAATAAACATGAATCCTTGATATTCTGTTTTAAGATTCATATTAATGATAAATAAGTAGTAATGCATTTATGAACAATAGGGAGAAAAACAGTTGGCTTCAGTAGCATGCAAAAGCATCACTTACTCTTTTGTGGAGTGGCAGTAGCGGGAGCTTCATCTTGAGAGATTAGGTTCTTCAGTGTATTAACTAGATGACAGTCATAAGATATCTATGGTTAGCTTGCAGAACAGAAAAGGTGATTTGTGTTTAAAGAACTAGTTAAGCTTTCTCTGACTTATCTTACTGTATATCATACTTTTATGTTGAATTTGATTTTAAATAAAAATGAAAATACATTACACAATCTAGATAATTTCTTATGCAAACTATTTGACACATCAGTCATAAGGGCCAACTAGAATCATGCCTATGATGCCCTATGCACCTAGTATGCAGAGGATGGAGTAGAATGCAGTTACCTTCACTTGATGCAGCAGTGGTCACAACCAATTCATCAGCCTCAGAACCATCTAGGCTAGTGTTATCTGATTCAACACTACGTTCACCTGTAGCAGAGCTATTAGACTTTCGGCCAAATTTCAGTAACCTTCTTAGCCCTTTTGATGAATCCTTTATTTGAGGCTTCAACAACGTTTCTGGAATCTTATCTAGTTTTGAGCTTTTAGAGTCAGATAACAGAGCACTAGGCCCTATGTCCACTGTGTCAGTTTGAGTGCTTGCTGGAGGTGCTCTCCCGTACTCTGAATTTCTAGTACATGACTCTTCTAAGGAAGATACACGAGCATAAGGTGCTTGATATGGTTTTTCATCAACATTTCGAGAAACATTTGGTGATTCCTTTTCCATGTTACCCAAATTTCCTGTTGCAACCTGATAGCAGATTTACATATTAAAAATCAGATAATTCTTGTTTTGCTGCAAAAACAAAACGAGTTTGCTGGCTTAGTTCCTTTAAAGCAGCTGTAGCCCTTGTCCCTTATCATTTTTTTTTTTTGAAATAAGCCCTTGTCCCTTATCACTTTGAAAAATAGATCATTGAACTAATTTGAGACAGACCCCATCAACTAAGAGGGCAAGGGATTAGAAAGCCCTTAACTGCTCAAACAAAGTTCCATGAACTCTTAAAAGAAGGATTCTTGACAAGTCATAAAGCCTGATGTAGATCAATGGCAAAAGTTGACCAACAAATCAGAAAATAGAACCTAATGACCATTATCTTGAACCTCATAGAAAATTATGAATTGGTTCAGACATTTTTACCGCTATAATTTGTAAATCCCAACCATTATGCATATTCTCACAGATTATTAAATGCAACATACCAGGTGTATGACAACAAAACTTTAATTGTTGAAGAAACAATTTGCAAAAGGGAAATTCAAGCCATTTCAAATCCTTACCAATGCTCTATCATAAGCATTTTGCTGCCTTTGCAAACTGGGTTTAGTGAGTTCTTTATCAGCAACTTCCATGTTTTGTGGTGAAACTGATGCATGAATATTAGGATAATCTGACACCATCTTTGATTTCTCACCTATTTTATGATTATCATAGTGTTCTTTTTCTCTTCCAATATTTTCAGCTGATGCCTGTAGAGTAGGAATTATGATCTTCTCACGTTCAAGCATCACAACTGTCTTCTCAACCACGGTATTGTCATCACAAACATTGTCATAAAACATATCCTTGTCTTTTTTTGGTTTAATTTCAGGTGCTGAAGACTCACTACCGTTCACCTTCTGCACAATTTCTTTTGCGGTCAATTTCTCAGAGGCAATGACAGGACTTTTCAAGGTCTTGATTTTCAACTCTGGAAGTGATGCACCCTTGCTTTTATCATGGTTGACAATAGCAGATATTTTCTTGCTCTCAGGTTCATCAGTTTTTTTGGGCTTTGATTTAGGCCCAGTACTCCGGGCCTTCACTACAGCAACCTGTGTGCTACTAGTCATTTTAGGTTCTGACAATCTTCTTATTCGTGATATGGATGTCTTCTTATCAGACATTTCGCTGCTCTCCTTTCTGCGTTCTGATAATGATGATACTGATCGGCTTAACCTATTTCCAGCAGAGTGGCTTCCAGTGTTTAATTTTCCAGGTTTGGAAGGTTTCTGAGAATCACTTGACCACAAAGAAGCATTTCTTATAGGGAACCTTCGTAATGATGATGATGATTGGGGCTCTGTATCACTAAATTTTGACCCTTTGTTAAAGCTAGGGGAAACTTTTGCCACTACTTGTTTCCTAAGTTGCTGTGAAGGCAATGGTGACTGAGCAGTGATTGAACTGCCTCGAGCAGCAATTCTCTTTTGCCTTGCTGCCTTCAAAGCTTCAATTCGTCTTATCTCTTCATTTTCCTAAAAAGAAAAAATAAACAAATTATGCTCAACCATAAACATCAATGTGTCCAGTAACTGAGATGATTAAAGAAACATAGTCATGTTTATGATATTTTTTTTTTGAGATTATGTTTACAAAATATAATAATCATAATGAATCCAGCAAACATATTTGCATCTACTAACCAAGATTGCTGATTAGTTATGCTAGATTTGTTCTAAAATTTTTCAAGGGGATTGTTCAAACAATGAAGAAAGTCACCTTCTCTTTCTTCATTTTCTGGAGGTCAGCTTTGAAGTTTCTTAGCCTCTCGGCACGTGCCTTTGCTTCATCCAAAGGACTTGACTTCGAAGGTCTGACTTTTCTTATTGGCCCTACTACTTTCTTCTTGTCTGAGGCATCTGATTTTTTTGACCCGCGTCTGATGTCAGTCACCATTTCTTTATTTTTCTTACTTAGAGAAGCACCATCACTAGCATGAGCCTGCATTTCAAAATCTAAAGCAGGGTCGTAACCAATTGATCTCTTCTCGGTTCCACGCTCAGGCATCAAGCTGAGGTCGTCTGGTTCATATTTGAGCTGGCTTTTGACCCTGTTAGATATGTTCTCATCCTTCTGTCGTGATGGGAATTCAGAATCCATATCAACAGCATTTCGATCATTTGTTCCAACTTCTTCCAGAGAAACTGATCTTAGTGAAATGATGTAGGAATCATCATCCATATTCTGTGGTAACCTCTTATCCAAGCCACTGTTTGCATATTCAAATCCATTCATGGGAAGTGGACCTTGTGGATTTGGGTGACCTGATTGGTTTTCTCTTCTGTGAAGAACAAAATCATCAGTTCCAGACCTCCTATATGCAACCCTTCTGCCATCTATTTCTGTAGACCGTACATCCACAAATGCTCTACTATCACCTGAAACTGTTCTAGAAATCAATGATTCATCATTAGAATTCTTAAGCATGCGAGTCATGCTTCCACTAATATGTTGCACATCACTATTAGTTCCTTCTTGATATTGATTCATATCACGTCCATCATATGCCAAAGGATCATCACCCACTCCATTTTGTCTCCTTTTCGCTCTAATCTCCTCCTCCATGGCAAACATTCCTTGGCTGCCAGCACTTTCCTCTTTATCAGCATCTCTCAGTAAATAACTTTGAAATGCTTGCCAATGACCACCATTCATCTCTGTTCCCTCAGATGTTCCCTCCTTATCAAATGAACTCCGTAAATCCATGGATTCTTTTGTACTCTCCTTCCCCTTTAAATATCTC